TAATTAAAGATTATAATAAATGGTGGTTAAGAGAGGTTGAGAACCACTCCACATTGTTTATTATATAAAAGTCAATAGTTAGTAAATCATATTTAAATAAAATCTGATTTTTTTTAAATATTACTAAATATTGATTATTTTATACTAAAAAATTCAGTATAAATATGTGTAAAGAGTTTACATAAAATTTGCTAAGTCATTTTTCTAAAGTTCTTCCAAGAGAGAAACACATTCAAAGAGTTGAGTGTAATATCAAGAAAAGTTCTTGAAATATTTCCTTATAAAATATATATATTCTATACTATTGAAAAACCGAGAAGTTTCTACTAGCGAAGAAGCTATCGTCGGAACCCGATTTCGAAAGGTGGATACGTTTAGAGGGAAGACACGTGGATTCCTAAAGAGAGTAACCACAAGCACAAGAAGTGAAGTGACGTTACCAATCCGGAAACCGATTTCCTCAATCCATCTACGATTTCGAAGGAGTTCAAGATTAACGGTAAATATTGTATTTACTATCAAACAAATCAAAATTTATATTATTACTTGTTTTTAAAGATGACGATCTGTTAATTCGCCATATGTATGTACGAGATATGTATTTAATTGTTAAATACATGCTTTAAAAATTTTTAAATTCCGCTGCATATAGCTCTTACGGTACAGGCGAACCCAACAGTGGTATCAGAGCCATGGTTATCATCTTTAAAAATAGATTTTGATTTGTTTCATGTTTATATGATAAACAAGATAATTAAATGTTTATTTGATAAACATATTAATTATAAACTAAAAAAAAAAAATCGCGAAACAAGTCGCGAGTCGCGACATAGAGTCGCGAGTCGCGACATGTAGTCGCGACTTGTTGTTTACAAGTCGCGAATTCAAATTTTTCGAGCCCCAGTTTATCGCGAGTCGCGAGATACGTCGCGACATGGGTCGCGAGTCGCGAGATAAGTCGCGATATGTTCGCGAGTCGCGAGTTTTTCTGGATTAGCCTCTGTTCGTCTCGCGAGTCGCGAGTTGAGGTCGCGAGTCGCGACATGGAGTCGCGAGTCGCGAGTCGCAAAATTCGCGAGTCGCGACTTGATAAAAATAAAAAATAATTTTTTTTGTATTCATGTGCTGAATGTTTTTTAGGGATGATCATGAGCCTAATACACATAATGAATGAATGGATGCATTTTATTTCAATATGATTGAATGTTTGCATGTTTTATTCAATA